TACCAAGTCCAATTTATATCTGTATTACTTGTATACTTCATGCATTTTAGAATAAGTTATTTGCTTAAGTCATGTAAAAGGAAAATATAGACTATGATGATATAGAAACAGTTCATATTATTTAATACAAGTACAGAACTACTTGATTTTATATAATCAGTATATCATTATACTATTCACTATATACTTCTGATACCGCCTCCGTGGTCGAGGGTTTAGAGTCGAGGACTTCTAATCCAGTTACCTCTCTGGCGTGGGTTCGATCCCGGGAGATGCTTTGGTGGTTTTAGTGCGGAGGAAGGTAGTCTAGTACTGGTGTAACTCTCCAGGAACGATGGTTAGGAAACTACCCGCCTATATGACTGAAAATACTGTTTTGGGAAAAGGCGTTAAAATGAAACAAACAAACAAAAAATATACTTCTGAAATTAAAAAAAGATGGCACGTCGTCTTTTTGTATGTGTTTTTTTTAAATTTTGTTTTTTTATACATGCATATGTAAACAAAATATCACTTTAAACAAGATCATATGGTACTGCAAATTTAATTTACATTTTTTGTTGCTTACAGACATTACTGATTAAACAATTTTCCTTTTAAGGTTTTTCACATGTTTTATCAGGCAAATAATCTGTAGCAATTTACACCAATGAATTTCGATAAACATATTATTATTTAGATAAATTATCATGAAACAGATATTAAAATTTCATTTAAATTCAAATAACCTTGCTTCAAACATTCAGATATAATTTGTCCTTTCTTAGTACCGAGTAATTGTAAAACATGCTTTGCCGGGACAATTTCAAAATTATCTAAAATGTTATAATAAACGCGGTTCCAAAGTAACTGATAACACGGACGATTTTTTGTGTATGTATTGCGAGGCCTTTGTCCTGAATACTATTGTTCCTGTAGCTCTACTTTAAGATGTCTTATTAATAGCCCTGACCTCCATAGCTATTTTGTTCCGTAAGTATATCATCTCGGAAGCCCATTTTATGTATCTTTTGATTTCAAATAAAAACATGGAAGTTAAGCCCACATCCCGTCTTTTACTGTCGATACACTTAAATCTTATTCAATTTATGTTGATAATACGATATAGTGTTCTGGACTTTTGGTATGTTATATTTAAAGTACTATTATGTTAAAGTGTTTTAGGTGTCTCACCACACCACTCGAAGAACTTCTGCCAGCGTAGTATTTTCGTGATGGGGGTTATAAGCAAATATCCTACCGAAATAAATTATCCAGACATAAAGTAAGCATAACTAAAAAAAAAACGATAACATTTCATAATTATTTTCATTATAAGTCAGTTAAACCCAAATATGCCTCAAGTTCAATATTCAAAACTTTTTAAATAAATCCAGAGAAGCGCTTGAAGCCGTACAGCGTCTTGAAAAAAAGTCTTTTGAGGAAAAACGATGGTGCCGAACCACAAGTGGGTCAAGCTCCGAGGTACAATACCAAGTGGCTGATATACAACAGTCATTGCTCAGTCAAGCTCCGATAAACCTAAACAGATGTATAATTTTAGGCCAACATGGACCAGTTGCCCAGTAGCGTCGCTCCCGTCCAGTCCCGAGAGAGCCCGACCCTTTTCAGTCCCAAGTAACCTGCACAACCGAGGTCGTAGTCAAGACGTCAAGAGTTTGATACTCCAGCTGCCAAAAGTTTTGTCATCATCAAAAGACGAAAAAAAATGCTAAAGCACGTCCGCGCACTATACAAAACGCAAAAGACCATTTGCTAAGCTTATTTAAATTACTCCAAAGTTACTTTAAGGAAGTTAGCATCAGTTCGTCTGATAGTGACTAAATCATAATTACGATGTTGGTAAAGAAACACAATAAAGTTTAAAGTGTTCATACTATGTTTTGAGATGACCCCGCAATATTTGCGTAACTGTTCCTTGATAACCATTCCCCCACTTTATGTCGCAAATGGCTAATGGTCTACAGTCTGTAACACGGTAAATTTGAAGAATTCAATAAGATATTGATTTTTAAAAACTTCTTTCTCACAAAACAAGTAAAAATTGACCAGTTATTATAAATGCCTGTAAAAAGCAATACAACGGACATAATCAAGACATGCCCGCGGATACATAATAACTTTCAACAAAGGAAAACTGTTATCTGTTTTTTAAGCGCAGGGTACACAACGATTTGTTACGTAAGAGTAAAATGTCAATAAATGGATATTAATGTCAATAATTGTCAGTGGTCTCCATTTTGTCACAATATATAAATAAAATATATGTAGCAATAAACCAGTTACATGTATTTGCAAATGAAAGAAATGCTATAAATAATTTAATTAAGTATGTTATGAAATTCATTTTGTCAAGAAACCCTATATATAAGTCAAAGGACATTAACAGATTGCTCAAATAATTTGAATCTATGCTTCCTAGCTCCATCAAGTGAGGTATTTAAATTTTCCGGGTGTTGCTTTAAGGTTTGAACATCGAGGCTAGCCATGATCAATTTTCCTGTTTCCGGCGCCAAATGACCTAAACTATGTTGAATGCGCCGTAAAACCAAAACAAACACGTCTGTTTTACACTCACTCTTGATAAATTGAAAAACTAACATTGTACAGTAAAATAAGTATCGGATATCTAGTCTATAAGTTTATATTCATGTTTTCCATAGCACTGCGATGATGTAACAAAAAAGTGTCTGTTTCCAGTGGCATAGTTTTTAAGAAAATAGGCATTTTTTGTTCTATATCAAGTGTATGCGACGGAAATATGAATATGCGGCGTAAAGTTAATAATGCAGCGTCAAACAAAAAATGTGGCCTGTTTTCCATGAAAAAGTTTAGATTCGTTGGCCAAAAAAATAGGGTAGGTAGGGACACAGGAAACAAACAAATTTTAAGGCCTTATTAACTTAACACAATAACGAGAATATTTTGCCGACTCCTTAGAAATGGATATTTCCTAGTCTGTTTTGTTTCATTGATAGAGTACACTGGCATTGTTTTCAGTAAAATTTATTTTTTTTAATTTTTTTAATCAATTAACCAGGGAAACAAAGGTTATTTCCCATTCATAGTGAAAATAACTGCATAATTAACGTAAACAAAGTTTTCGAAAAAATAAAAACCTTTTTGGAAGCCCGTGGGAAAAACATAAATATGGTTCGGATTTTTTCTGAAATTTTTTGCAAAACCCCTTTTTATTCCCCGGTTAAACCTTCGGTTTTTATAAATTCTTTGCTTTTAAAATTTTTTTTCTTGTTTTTGACAGAAAACCTTTTTTGCATAAAAAAGGGGCCGGCCATTTTTGACCCCAAACCTTTAAATTTTTTAACGTTTAAAAACCCAAAATTTTGAAAAGATTTGGATTTTTTGTAAAGGAAGGACTACCTACTTTACTTGGGGGAAATTTTCCCAGATTTGGGAAACAAAAAAATTTTTTTTAAATTCCCTTACGTGTAAGGTTTATTTTTTTAGACAAAAAAAGGGTTATGTGTTTTATACGCACTGAAAAATTTACAAAAGTTTGTTTTTTTTCTTCCCAAAAATTGAGAATTAAAATCCAAAATAAAATTTGAAACTTTTTTTGGGTAAAATGAATTTAATGACAAATTTAGTTTTGTTTTTCCCGGGGTTTGAAAATTTTTAAAAATGTTTTTTTTGACCCAGTTTTTCTTTGCAATTTTAATTTAATTAAATTTTTAAACGTATTTTTTTTTTTATTTTTTGGGGCCCCGGTCGGGGTTTGTTTTTTCATAAACCAATCGGCTCAGCTTTTTTTGGTTGACAGTTTTTTAAAAAGTTTCGATCTGAAAATTTTTTTTTTTTAAACAGGGCATTGGGGATTTTTTGGGCCCAACAAAAAAATTGTTTCACGTAGTTTTTTAATTTTTAAAAAAAAGGAAGCTTCCCTTTTTTTTTTTTGCCCAGATTTGCAACGAAGAAATCATTTCTCAGATTGAAAATTATTTAGATGTTGCACCTTCTATATGTCGCCTGAACTAAATTCATCTTCCTTTCTTTCCGAGAATTTCTACTTTTTTAACGTTACCAAGCTGCTTGCGTTTTACAAAAGACCTTCGCATGACCAATCACTTTTCGACTTTAAATTGACAACCGATCATATGCTTTACGGTGTTAAAGTTAAAATAAAATATTCATGTATAACATTAAAGTCTGAACAGATACCTTGTATGGATTCTTTGTGATAACTTTGAAATATAATTATGCTTTTCATTAGCAGAAGTCATTTAATATTCCATGTAAAATGATTGTCCATTCTAGTTAAACGTCAACTGTAGAGCACAACAATAAAGCTTAGAGATACGGGACATTGCATGTAAGTGTAACATTCATTTTATTAGAAAAAGGACATAAATGTGATAGACAAACATTAAATAAATGTTACAGTTATACAACGTTTATACACGCTCACCAATGGTTGAATTCTTACCAATTTTCAAGAAAAAAAGATAATATTACGAGCTGTACTAAAATATTTAAAAATGTTTTTTCCACGAACAAAAATTAACTATGATTATAATTAAACACTCAGTTTAAACTTTCCTGTCTAAAAATTTACTCGTCTATCTGCTACAGGAAAGTCAGAAATATGTAAGTTAAACTAACAAAGCTGAAAATCAATCATAATGCACGTGCTTTATTTTGTAAAACCCGACGTTTTAATGATTAACGAAAGTAATTGTTTATGTTGTCTATGTGCCTTTAGTCGATTACGCAGCTCAAATAGTAAATAATAATTATAATACCTTGAGTTCTATTCAACAATTGATATATACCTATCAGCAGCAATTTGACATAGAAGCGCTTCCATAAACGCATTGTTTACTAGTTCCTAGTTGTGGTTGTTGTTTTGTGGGTTTTTTTTTTATAATTAAATGGTATACAAACAAGTCTGAAATTAAATTCAAAGAAAACAAGAATTGTTTTGTGTTTTGATTTTGTTTCTAAAATAGTAATTATACGTGTATCAGTAAATTGACACTAGGATGTCTAGACTGAAAATGAATGTAAAACAGATTTAGAAACAATATTGGTTACAAGGGATATCCCCCACCAAAATAATTGTTTTTTAAAGTTCCGATTAATTTGAACATTTTTATCAAATATATTTGGCTGTTCATTTAAATATACTACAGGAGCAGTTTTTATTTTATTATGTATTTTATTGGTAATGTTATCATGTTTGAGTAAAAGATGCATTTCGACAACAGCAGACACTGTTGTTAATGTTTGGTGATATTTTTATAACAGGCTTCAACTATAGTTAATACCAAATATCCACAAGTTATAACTAACTACTAAATACCACATCTATATCAAAAATATATTTCTTTATCAGCGGTGACAGATATATGACCAATAGACTCCATGTCCGTGAGAAATAACGCCTCGTCAGAGAACCAAATAAGCGATCCCCGGATAACAAATCCGACGCTCTTACTATTAAGCTACGCGGACAGACATGAATTAACAAAATAATGTATGATTGTTTTATGATTAAAAGTTTAATTATATGGCATAAATGATCTGATCAAATAAAAGGTCGTGCGAACGTTTGTTGTTTGATTGTGCCTAGTGAGTAATACATGTATATAATCACCATTTCCATGTTTAAATGTTCACTTCTGCTTCAGCCGGTGCTATGGGCATGGACAGAAGCTTGCACATTCCAGTAGCGACCAATAGCCAGCAACATGTTCAAGTTGGCCCTTCTTTAAGGAATTGGGTTTTCTGTATTTCCTATGGTAAGTACAGTAAGCTAAGTAAGTAGTTTTGTGTTACAATATCAGTCTTATAATCAAACATAATCAAACCGAGCCTGCAACATTTTCAATTTTGCCGTGTTGGGCTTTCTTTAGGGATTCTGTATTTATCTATTTTATGATCACATCCGTGTTATTTGTGCCGTGTGGCGGCTGTAAAAAGTCTCCCCGTACATTTAATCAATGATGTTATATTTTCGATCCTTGGAGATCGTTCAGCACGACATAATTGTTGTGCTTGTGGTATTTTTAGTTTCAACTTTTCGGCATTTTCTAGTTGGGTGATTCCAATATTCCTACTTGAATAATGTTGAATCACCCTTAGGATATGTTGCCTGCTTTTTAAATTTGTCTTTTGACGTCTTATCTGTGATATGCAGGCTTCATAACCTCTGATCCCCTTTCAAAATTCCATTTTATTTAGTTCCGCCCATTGTTTTCTCGTTTAGGGCACACGCTTTTTATTACTTGGGGACCATACGCCGCTTTTCATGGAATGGCACTACTGTGTCACATTGAAGGTTCCATGATAACCGCCGTATGAACACATCTACGGATGTTTCTAAATTCAAAATTTTACTATTTCATGTTTAAATGTTGAATTCTGCTTAAGCTGGTGCTAGGGGGCGTGGACGGTAACTTGCACTTTCCAGTACCGTCCATGAACAGGCTCAATCAAACCGAGCCTGCAACATTTTCAATTTTGCCGTGTTGGGCTTTCTTTAGGGATTCTGTATTTATCTATTTTATAATTATCATAATTGTGTCTTTACAATAAATTGCCTATGTTTGTTGGTTTAAACATATTTTATTCGATATATTTACATTATGATGAACAATATTTACACAATACATTTGGGATTTGGTTGGTTTATATTGTTAGAAATAGGCTTTTAATTATTCTGCATTTCTTAACTCAATATAATTCTATAATTTGTGAGAAAAGTTGGTTATTTATTCCTGCTTCATTTTTAGGGTTTAAAATTCGTGAATTACCTTCACTTGTAAAAAAAAATTTGATTACAAATTTTCCTTTTGAAAACAAAAATAATGTCGACACAGTTATTAATTGTCATCTTAGAGTGTTTTCCTTTTAGATACAGAGGTTTCGACTTAGGGACTCTCTTAAGCGACGAGATAGTCATGGCATTTCCGAAAGGAAGAGAAGGAGACTGAAAAGACGGGTGTACAGTGTAATCGGACCTAATCATTTATGGCACATCGATACTAACCACAAACTTATTCGATGGCATTTCGTAATATGCGCTGGAATAGATGGGGTCAGTCGTCTAATAACAGTTTTGTCTTGTGCTGATAACAACAAAGCACCGAAGGTACATGACTGTTTCATGCAAGGCACACAGAGATACGGTATTCCGGTTCGAGTGCGATCTGACATGGGCATGGAAAATATCAAGGTGGCCGAATACATGGGTAGTGTTCGAGGACCACATTCTATGCTCGTCGGGAAAAGCACGCATAATTAAAGAATAGAAAGACTGTGGAGCGAGGTTTTTGAAGGTGTCTTAACTTACTTCTATTTTCTCGAGGATGAAGCATTGCTTGATGTTCTTATTGAGAAGCATCTGTATGTACTCCATCATGTCTACATAGGCATGATCAATGAACGCTTAAATGTCTGGAGGAACGCTTGGAATAACCATAGAATTCGAACAGTGAAATCGACGCCACTACGACTGTTTACGGCTGAAATGTTGAACAATGCCCCTGAAGAGCCAGGCTATCATCTTAATTATGACCAACATCTAACTATTACAACCGAAGATAATGACACCGAGGATGGTTTGGGGCAAAGACCTATTTTTGAGTTCAGGAACCTACGCTTAAACAGAGAATGTTTGGAGTTGCTTGAAAACGAATGTCCACAGAACTGGGTCTCAGACAACAACGGCATTGATGTATTTGTAAAAGCAAAACAAATCATAGATAGATTTTAGGGTGGTATATATAATAATAGGGAAATCGAAATGCAAATACATTTGTAGTTTAAAACAAGCATAGTTATTTGTTAAGTTATTCACTTTTTGATTGTTTGACCGAAATCATTAAAGTTTGACTAAGTTTTGCATTGAACTATCTTGTTATTTCATTTCGTTGTATTTGTATTTTAGTAATTATCACAGACGGCGGACGCAAACACTAGTAAACCAGAAACAATGGATTGTTTGATTCGTTTTATCTCAAACCGGGTACTATACCATTTATAATATAAGTAAACAAGCAGTGCATTTCAGTGCATAATAAACTTACACTTTAACAGCTTTTCTAGAACAGCAAAGGTCATTTAATTTATATATGTACAGCATTTAGTTTGTTTCTACTTCCTTTTTTTGCTGGATCGGGCTTAAGCTCTGCTAGCTGTTCTTTTAGTTAGGTAATTCGCTGTCAGTTTTAATAGCCTAATTAACAAAGTTCGATATTAAAAATGTAAACGTACGTTATTTCTTCTTTTAAATTGTGTGGTTCTAATGGACTAATACTTGGTAAGATACCATGGATTTATCAAAAAATTTGAATCTACAAATGCAATGAATAAACCGAGCAAAACCTTTACCCCTTTCCATTCTCTCATGGTCATTTGCATTTATGATATACCAAGTCCCATTGACCATTGTTCTGAATATGGATGTAAAAGGTAGAAATCATCAACATGCATCCACATATTAAGTTTGAAAACCCTATGTATAAACACTTCCATTTTATGGCCAGTTGTATTTTTGATATATCAGGTCCTAGTGACCTTCACCTTTCGACATGAAAATGGGTATCAGCGGTAGTGACCATCAATGAAATCTTAACGAACAAGAGCCACTTCAACGCAACGCGCAACGTTATTACTTTTCCTAAAAGAAATCAAACGGTTTACTAATAAACATATCTTAGAAAGAAAATTAATGAAAATAATTAAGTTTTTCCTTCATAATTTTAATAGGACTGTAATCTTGTTTTGTATGAATCCTTTTCATAACTCAGGGCCTTCCCCAGAAATTTCTGTAAGAGCAACTTGGAGGGGGTGGGTGTGGGAAAAAATTTTGAAACCTTACAATGGAATGGTGTATTTTGGTGCATATTTAATGAGAGTTTAGACAAACAAAAGGTGTTCAGTATTTACATATTTTATTGTCTTTTCAAATAACTTTAACAGAAAAATATATATCACACAAAAATATAAAACAAATATATGAGTAATGTTGTTTACGTTGCAAAAAGTTAGTTATTGTTTTATTTTTGTTTTGTTTAATATTTGAAATTTTGTGACTGAATAGTTTGTATGATTTGATTTATATTTGTAGTTTTTATTTTTCTCACCTGATGTTGATGTAGGGATCAACAGCCCCACAGCAGCAAGTTTGAAGACGTTGGTGTGGCTGACTTTCAAATTTGTGGTAACCCACTACATGGCCTTGTCTGCAGCATGCCCACTGTCAGCAATGGATTCCCTAACTTGGCGCCACTCATGAAGGGTCTTGTCAACCACAAGTCCAAAGTGCTCAGTCAGCATCTTTAATACAATTTTATCTTATAAATGAAGTTACAAACTACTTTCTTTGACATTATACTGCAACAGTTAGAATTTGTTTAATATCAAAATATTTAAAACACTCTAGTTCTATTATTTTAACAACAATCATGCTTTTTTATTAACTTGTCCAGTTAGCTAAATAAAAGAACAACAAGCATCGGTTCATTAGAAAATTGTTATTTCATTATACCTTGATGTCCTCTTCCCCATGACTGGTGCTGTTGTCATCAGGAAACTTCCTTGTGTTAAAAACCTCAAACTTCTGTATAAGAGGCAGATCTGGAAATCGGCCCTCCAAATTATTTACAATGTTCTCCATAAATGGATTGAACACCTAAAATAATACAATGTCATGTTTCAATATAATGTTTAAATTACACCTTGTTCATTTCAGCTTAGGAAACTTTATAAACAACATATAGGGAAACTTCAGTATTCTCTATGTAAATAATTTTTTAGATTAAGCAAAATTTAATTTACCTTCTCTCTAAAGTTGACAGTCTCTTGCTCAGAAGGAGGCTTGATGTTGAACCCCTGGGCCTGAAGGTCCTTTACCCTCTGCACTGCACTCTGGTAGGCCTCCCCTTGCATGGTCTGCAGACCCCGCAGAATGGACAGTGTACCAGTCACAAGTGGTTTTACAGTAGTGTAAATAGCATCCCGGGCCTGAAGACATGAAACAAACGTACAATGTATACCTGTTTTCAGCATTTTAATTTTTTACCTGTTGTAAAAGACAAGTTTAAATAAACTAAAATAATAGTTTAAGTTTTAAACATAACTTTAAATGATACTATTTCACTTGGGAGTATCTTGCATTTAATCTACACATACCTGCATGGCAGTTGATAGTTCTGTGAGATGAGGTAGAGTGTCGCACATCATATGAAGAGACATTACAAAGCGATGGTCCTGGGTGAACCTTGCAAGTCCTGCTGCCCTGACATCATTCCTCTCCTCAGCCTTAGCTTCTACCAGCTTGAGAACTGGCTCATTCAGCAATTTCTAAAATAGAGATCAATAAATATCTGCACATGATATCATATACAAAACAAAGTGAAGATTATACACTGTTAATTCTCTGCTCTATTTCAGGCATTCATTTTTTATATTAATTTCCACTTAGGAGTCAATTATTTTAATTCTAATTAGAGTACAAAGTGGAATCACACAAAAAACTGGTTACATGAGAAATTACCTGTATGTCCTTCAGGCCTGATGTGCGTACTGGACTGTGATCATAAAACCTATGGAGGTCCCCAAGGATATCCTTAAACCTTGGGAGATAAGGAACCCCTTTCACAGCCTGTGCTACAGCCAGTGCCAATCGATGGGCCACACAGTTGTTGCTGATCAGGTGAGGAACTCTCTGTCTAAGCTGGACAGCAACCCCAGTCTTCTTCCCAACCATTACTGCCGCTCCATCACTTCCAAAGGCACGCATCTGCTGCAGAGGCAGGTTGCATGATGACAGTAACTCCAGGATGGCTGTTGTGATGGTATCTGCCTTGCCATCTTTATGAGGCACGATCGACAAATACTCTGTCTGGCTGCAACCATCCTTTAAAAAATCTATTGAAATAATTTGAAAATTGGAGAAAATTGATAAGTGTCTGTCAAAATATGTATTTTATGTTGATTTTTTTAAAACTTTGCATGTACTAGTTTAATGTTAACTTTGAAATATATTTCATATTAGTTATCTCATACCTTATATAAACAATCATTTCACTGAGGACAGCAACATCTGTTGTTTCATCCACCATTATGGTGTACCATGGTGATTCCCGTACTTTTTCCAGGAGGTTGTCCCTCAGGCACTGTCCCATGGTCAAGACAGCCTCCTGGATGAACCGCTGAGACTGGCCATTGTTATTTCCTCCCTGGTCAAGGTTTGACAAGATATTGACACCTTGCTCTTTACCTGTAAGAAAACTGTTATAACATGATAAAGTTCAAACAATTTTACAAAAAAAGTACAGCAGTGACTTAATTAAAGAACATACCACTAGATATTTATATTTCTTATAAAAATAAGTATTCAACCTTCATGAATTCTATACAAAATACAAAAGAGTGTCTTACATAGCTGCATAAGTGCCAGGTAGTTTGAGGTGTGTGGCATTTCCTGCTTAATAAGCCAGTACAGGTTACGGAATGCTGCCACCCGAGCCTGGAGCTGCAGGCTGGTCATCTCTTCCACCACTCCATGTATTGTCTTTGGTGCAGACCTGTTAGCCTCAAATGCTGCAGCTTCTTTATGAGCATCACTGGTCTGGTGGCGTGTGATGGCCTTCCTGACAATCCAGGTACATGGCTGGTACATTTGACAGTCAATGTCATTTAAAAGTAAAGGTCATATCTTAATAATATTTCCACATGTCTGGTGACAAGTGCATGTTGTTTTGCTTACATATTTATGAATCAAATCTATACATAAAAAACAAACTTGACAACTTAACCAAAATTAAATACTTTGACTTGGATGGTCAAGGTCATTTTAAGCTCAAGGTCAGTCAGTTCATCCTTTTAGAATGTCATGTCCAAAAGGTTGTTTTGTTCAAGTATAAACATAATCCATTGATTAATTACAAAGATATAATCAGTGAAAATTAAATAAATTGGCCTTCAAGGTCAAGGTCATACACAAGTCAAGGTTAATTTGAATTAAAAATACATGAAGGTATTGACCTAAAACATGTTGTGTCTTAATATGAATTTAATTCATTTATACATAATAAAGTTATAGCCAGTTACAAAAAACAGGAGAATTTTATTACTTTGACCTTGAAATACAATGTCAGTTTAGAGTCAAGGTCATATCTAAATTGTTTAATATGTTTGTTTGGGAGCAAGTCTTATTTTGTCTAAGTTTGAATCAAATCCGTACATAAATAACAAAATTATGACAAACCAAAAATCAATTTGACCTTGACAGTCAAGGTCATTAAACGCTTAAGGTCAAGGTATGTTCAATCTTTTAGAAGGTCCTGCGAATAAGGTTGTTTTGTCAATGTATGAACATAATACATTTATTAATTACCAAGTAACAGTCAATTATAACAAAAATCATAGAAAATTCAATAATTTAACCTTTAAGATCAAGGTCAAAAGAGATCCAAGGTCAATTTGATGTTGATTTTATACATGAAGGATTTACCCTAAAGTATATTGAGTGATAATATGAAGTCAATCATTCAATAATAACAAAGTTATAGCCAGTAACAGTGAAACAAGAAATGCCCACCTGCAGAATGTCTCACTCGCTCATCTCAATTTTAACCTGAACCTATAAGCTTCAGATCAAGCAGAAAGATGTAAACGCAAACACATCCCCTATAGACCTTAAGGCAAATTCTTGACAGTGCAAACATATTAGGTGACCTTGACCTCTGACCAAGAACTAAAAAAACGTTATGATCAAGGTACAAGTTTGCGGACAGCAACACGTATCAGCAATACCGAAATGACTGTAACCATTACCTGCACATTTCTATTATTTAAAAAAAAGAAAAAAAAAAAGGTTAGTTGAGCTAAAAATGTTAACCAACACTGATGCCGCCAAAAGGGTCATGACAAATTCAAATGTAACTCCACTTTTTTTTGAAATATGGGCCTTAACTGATTTGCCAAAGAAATATATATCATTCAGGATCAAGAAATTGATTCAACAATGTACCAGCTCGTAGGTTATCTGTACAAGGTAATTGAAACAACAAAAATAATTGAAAAAGACAAGTTATTTTATAATTATATTTAATTTCAAACACATACAACATAACAGATACTACCTTTATCTATCATAAAATTTCTGCCATAAAATTTATGAACATAAATAAAACTTCTTTGTATGAGGGTCATATATTAGTAAATTTATTTACAAACTTTAAAAATTACAATAGTCTTCTTAATTGTACATATAAATGTATATAGTTTGTTTCTTAAATTTTGGATACTTTAATGGCATAAACATTCATGCAAATCTTATTATCTTATTATCATTATTTATTCAAGGTACAGAATATTCTTTAAGAAACTTTCTCGTCTTATTAAACACGTTTTCCTGGTGTTTTCATATAGACAAATAGGCAAATAGGCAACATTAAAACTGCCCAATAGAATTTTTTAACTTGGCATGTTATAAGAATATGATTACAGAAGCATTTTTAACGGAAAAAATTGGGATCACCGTTCTCATTTTTAGTTATCCGCCCTTGAATTGGACTTCTTTGTTAAATTCAAGGGCAGATAATTTACAATGAAGCGAAACAATAAATTTCTTCTTCTTATTATTTTTATGAAGCTTACCTTCGTCTCAGTCAATATGCAAAATTTCAAGAACAAGTTTAGAGTCGATAGTTTTTTCCCCACTTCTTTTCTTAACCTGTGCATTTTTTCTTAAAAATTGGCCTATTTTTATGAACTTTAAGTACCTCTATTTTCATTAAAACAAAAAAATAACAGAAACGATATAAGGAATTGCATGTAATTATGTTTTTTATTCAACAATAAAAATTAAATACTTATCTACAAGTAAAAACAAGAATTCATTTACGTTTGTATAAGTTATTTGCCCTTTAAATGACCTCAAATAAGTAGAAAATTCTGATTCATGGCAGATAGCTCAAAAACGAGAATTGTGACCCCAATTATTTTTTTGCATAAAATGTTTTTGTTATAATATTCTTACAACATGCCAAGTTTAAAGAAATTCTATGGAACAGTTTAAATTTTGCCTATATATCTATATGAAAACTCCAGAAAACGTCCTTAATAATCATCCTGTTACTATGTACTTGCACTCACTTTCCTAGAGTCTTTTTCAAATGAAAACTATTTCAAAAGTAACTACACCAAAAGACAGTGAGCAATTTATAGCCTATATAGTATGTATGATACAATTTTTTAACTAGAAATTGTCACAAGTGCCAAATAACCCGGACACGCGCTCGTCATAAAATATGCTTTTTAGTTAATAATTTTGCACAAAGGGAGAATGCGGTAGTTTATAGATTTTTTTCAAATGTTTTTTAATTATTTTTCCGACATCAATAAGGTGATTAAAAATTGGATTTGGGGTTTTCAGGGCTGTCGTTCTTTTTTCCCTGAGATTTCTGCATTCTAATCAGTGAGATCTACGTACCTACAAAATTTGAAGGTGAATTCTCTTGTACATTCTGAATTATGTCCCATACAAAAATCTGCAATGGACCGACCAAACAACCACAAACTGGCAGACCAACAGCTGACACCAGTATATCCTCTAAAACTTTGTTTATTTGTGGTATTATGAATTGTCACTTTTTCTTTACCAATATAGAGGTTATATAAACATTCATATGAATTAATATCCTTTTGTACGATTATAGAAGATACATTCCAGAGGGAATCTGGACTTTTCATTATTTCTTGTGAATTTGACCAGGAGAAATTTGGTCAGAATCATACATGTTGAAGATCATTGCAATCGCCAATGGTGTTCCCATAATAATTTTTTTTTAAAACAGCTGTTTTCAACTTGATTATTTTAATGTCTGATTAATAAGAATTTCTAAAACAATATACTGATAGAAATAATCAAAGAAATATGTCGGTATAATTTAAAGCCAAACTAGCAGTAAAAGAACTTTTTCACATTTTAAGGGATCAAGCTCATAATATAATACTACTGTAACAGGCACATGTAAATCATAGCAAATGTTTCATTTAAACATGATTACGATTCTTCAAACACCTTATTTATTTTCTACTTTAAATGGGACATAAACTAGCAATAACACTTAAACAAAAAATAAGAGGGCCATGATGGCTCTGAAATCGCTCACCTGAATATAGAATCTCTCAATGACAATGAACAATTAATATTGTAAACTATAAACAAAGCAGATATAAAATCTAAATCTTAAACTGATATCACAAAGTTCATATTTGTATCTGAAATAGTGCATGAGTATAAACATTACTGGTTGTTATTGCAAAAGGAAAACAACAGTTCCAAAAGATGTGTGCATATTAGGAAAATCAATGACCCAACGGGCCGGGGCTAATTTAGACCCCAGGGCTTTGATTTGAACAAACTTGGTAGACACCCACTAGAAGGTGTTTCATGCTAAATATCTTAGCTCTAGCTCCTTGTGTTCTTTAAAACAAGATTTTTAAAATTTTCCTATATACATTTTATGAAAATCAATGACCCCCAGGACAGGTCCAATTTTGTTAAAACTTGGTAGACACTTACTAGAAAATGCTTCATGCTACATATATAAGCTCTAGCACTTTTGGCATTTTAAAAGAAGGTTTTTCAGGTTTTTTCTTTCGGTTGCCATTACAACCAGAGTTCCACATGGAATTTAATGCTTTGAACAATTTTAAAGGTGACCACCAAAGGAACATTCCTGTGAAGTTTAGATGAAATTGGCTTAGTGGTATATGAGGAGATGTTGTTTAAAGTGAACAGACGGACACCGGACGAAATGTGATCACAAAAGCACACCTTGTCACTTTGCGGACACAAACTTTTGCGGATGTGTTGTTACCGAGAATTTCGTGAACATGAAGTCGCTACCGCCTAAATTTTTGGAGGCTACGTTTTTGATGCATGACCTTGCCTGTTGGGTACTTTAATTCTTGTAATTTTTTTGACAAGTCGCGCCTAAAGCGCTATGTTACTCGATACTTTTTCATGTTTTGACTAGTCGAAAACGGAAGTTGTTCTGTGAACAGTTTTTACTTAATTCCTTACCTTTTTCAATATGTGATTAAGATTAAGTCAGACCCATAAGCTTTTATTCTCATTTGAATCATAACTGACTTTATCTTCAAAATGTTGATATGTAATTTTTTACACAATATCGGACTGTGCATCACTTTCATTGTGCAACAACATAACATCTGTTTATCAATATAGCATTTGATCGCTATTGTACATTTAACAAAGGATTACACCTAAAATCCAAGTAATTCAATATACGCAAACTGTAAATGCTTTTGTATTCGCCGTGACTAGCGAATAACGTCAATAAGCATGATAATTATTAATAATTGTCATTTTTTCCAGGGTCCAAACAGGTATCTAGAACATACATACATAATTCTTTACACATTTCTATAGTACCTGTGTTTATATGTTTTTGTGTAAGTAGAATATAACAAATATTCTGCACGTTCAGTCGTTCATGCTTTTATTTGGTTAAAGCTAGAAATGTTCGCGGATTTGTTATAAGTGACTTTAAGGAAGTTAGCATCAGTTTGTTTGATAGTGACTAAATCATAATTACGATGTTGGTAAAGAAACACAATCAAGTTTAAAATGTTCATATTATGTTT